TCGGTGAAAATAAATTCCATACAAAACACCCAAATGTCTTTTCATCGAAAATTAATTCCAGCTAAAATAAAGTATTGTACAGTACTTGAAAAGCAGTGGAATTTTTACAACACTGAATATGTGTTTAGATAGAAGCTTTAGAGTACCAGTTTTTTTTCTGGGACAACCAGTCATTTTAAAATACTGTTTTCATTAATTGTCCGCATGCTGTTATTGTTTTCTCTCTCTTAGGAGTGGAAAAAGATGCAAGCATTGGTGGGTAAGACTGGGAAAGAAGGTTTAAAGAGGCGTGTGCTGCAGTGTGAAATCAGTGAAGTACCCATTCCTAAAGCTAAAAGGGCTAAGCAATTATTAGATGAGTTTGACTTGGATGAAGTGAGAGACACCAGTGCTGGGGCTGCTGTGTTTTATGTTTGGGTGAGTACATACATCAGTACTTAATTTTGAATGACTGTTAAATTGACATAACAATTGTATAGTTGTCATTAGCATATGCATTGTTATGCAAATTAACCAATGCACTATTACTTTCTCTGGGAGAACACTTCTTGGCATGCCACTGTCATGTTCAAATAGGGTGTAGAGGGCTCCCTACTCTAATACCTCTGGGGAGAGTCCTATGTATAATGTAAATGACTTTGGAATAGTTATGTTTGTATTTTAATGAATTCTCTACTAATCTGCATGTTTGCATCCAACAATCCCATTGCTTTTGATTAATAGTTGAAAGGGGAAGTCAATAATGTTAGCAAGTGTGCCCTCTAAGCGTATACGACACACCACAGACACACAAAGATTTCTGTGACGCAACTATAGTTGTGCTAATTCACTTGCACATCATTGACGCAAAAGAAAATTGTACATGATATAGTAATCTTGAAAATATCTTGATATATAGTTATGAAATTTGTAATTTGGTAAAATGAAATTTTTAAGCACAATAAGTATAAATCAAAAAAAGAAATCGGGGGCAAAATATTTTTGTTTGTGCTTCCTCTACACAGTCACAAACATTTTTATATTCTTCTTGAAGACTGCCTCACTGGCAGCCGACAAGCTGGCTCAAATTTATTTTTTGAGAGATTCCATCTTTACTCGTGTTAGATGGCACACTGGTGTTAATGCATATGTGCATGGAACCTGAAAATTATAATTGGAGGAAAAATGTAAAATAGTATATATTGTCAAAAATGACAGTTAAACTGATGGCTGGCTTGCTGATAGTTCATTTGCAAGGATGGCATCCACACAAAAATGTTCAAATTCAGACAAGGTTTTCACAGTTAGCTGTACTTAGTCAAATAATATTCTGTGGTCCTTCCCTCAAAATGCAAATCTTAGAAAAGTCTTGAACCATGTGAATTTTAATATAGAAATTGAATGAAAATGCATTTTTATTTGTGTCACTGAGAGTATAAACACTATGTGTCTTATACAGGCTGTTGCTACCATTGAAGAGGTTGAGGACAGAGAAGAGAGGAAAGCAGCAGGTGAAGATGTTGATGCTGAAGCAAAACCTGGCGCCAAACGAGAACCTAAAGTCTTCAAAAATGAATT